TTCGTCGTCTCGTCTCATCTTGAACACGAGTGTAGTTAGCCTGATTCACTCCAACACGAGTTGTGAGTCAAATCGAGCCAGATTTTCCTCATTCAGGTCAATTTTTTTTTATACGAACAAGCTTGTACTCAACTCGGTTCAAAGCGAGCACGAGCCAGCTAGTGTGGTGTACCAAGCCCTAAAACATTGCTCGATACTTATCCCTAACGTGGGTGTGGAACCTTTGTTTTACCCGAATCTTAGCGGCTCCACTGGGCACTGTCATAAATGCGTTCAGATTTGTAAATTCTGGAGGTCAAGTTTCATTATCGCAGGGGCATTTCTTACCCTTTTTTAGATGCATGTATATAAATTATGAAGTGCATACTTGTAAATCAATTGGTAAAATTGATTGATGTCGTTCTAGTTTATTGTTTGAATCACTAAATTCTATTCAATTGTTTGATTAGGCTCACAAATTCTATAATGATGGTTTAAGAATTATTATAGCAATAGAATGGATTTGATGTTTAAATTCAACAACGGCCATCCAACAATATACTTTAGTGTCATCAATGTCATTTAATTTGATTTTGTTTCACCATGACCACTCAACTTTATAATTAATGTTACTTTGGTCACCCAATTTCTTTACACCCTTTTCATTAATTTTAAGTTGTGTAAAATAGTAATTTGCATTATATATATTAAATAAAATAAAATAAATAAAATATTTTTTTATTTTAAAATCATTTTTTAAGATAAGTTTTTATTTATTTTTTTAAGGAATATTTTCTTAAAATAATTTTTTATATTATTTTCTTATTTTGTAAATTTATTTTATTTATATAATGCAAAGTTACCACTTTGCCCTTTAACATAAAAGATTCGATAATGAAAGGCCAGATTTGAGAAGATTATAAAAAATACTAGCTGGTATTGAAAATGAGTCGACCATAATGAGGGGGCCCACAAATTTAATATTCATGTAGGCCCCCTCAACATGTGAGGGAGTTGTATAGTATGGTGTACAAATTGTTTTTCCCTATTGATAATGAGTGATGTGGCATGTATAAGTTTTGTGTAAATAATGCATTACACTCCTTCACATGGAAGGATCCACATATAATTTATTATAGAATTATGTTATTTGTACACGTTGATGTACACTCTCCTTACAAGAGGGGGTCCACGCTTTTTTTTTATTAGGTGTGGGCCCCTCTTGTGAGGGGAGTGTACGCCAACTTGTCAACGTCGATGTATGTATAACAAAACCATTTTATTGTGTGTGGATTCCTTTCCATAAGAGAGAGTGTAATTCATTATGTACACAAGAAGTATATGAGTAGGCTAATTAATTGAAAATTAATGAAACTAATGTCAAAAAGTTGGGTAGCCACGATGAAACGTTATGTAAAATTGAGTGGCCATTGTGAAATAAAATCAAATTGGATGGTCATAGTAACACTAAGTATAAACTTGAGTGACCATAATGAAACAAAATAAAATTAGGAGTCCCTAGTGACACTAGTGGACATTGATGGATTTAACCCATGGATTTAATCCAAGAATTTTATTAAATTGTGTACATCTAGCATTACATCTCCTTCGTGTGAAGGGTGGCAATGCATTGATATAATTTCAAGGGGTTACGTCGCTTTGACAAAAATGGTTGATGGATGGAGTAACATAATATCATCTCCAACATTGCACCAAAATTTGAGTTAAATTTTACACCATTTTACACCAAAGTAAAAATAATCTCTGACCAGTTACACCAAATCAACACTGTAAAATTATTTTCTTCATTTTTTTCATTCTTAATAATTTATTTTTATAAAAATTTTATTTAATTTACTACTATCTAAATTATTGAATAAATAGTTATATTTTGTTAATGAAAATATTGAATTCATTAATAAATTTAATGAATGTTGTACAATAAAATAGAAAAATCACAACTAAAAAAATTAAATAATAATAATAATAATAATTAAGAATTAAAATTTATTGTATAACAAAAAAGTGACACAATACCCTTAACAAAAGTTGGAGCAAAATGGAAAATAAAGGTAAAATGGATATTAATCATTTTGGTGCAAAATTGTACAAATGAATAGTATTGTAATGGTGCAAAATTTGTTGTTGGGTTGGAGTAAGATTGCACCAAATATTTGGTGCAAAATGGGGAAAATGGGGACTTGATGTAAGAGTCTGAGTTGCCCTAATGTTAGTTAGCAAAATATGATTGAATGAAAAAATTGGCCATATTTAAAACAATCATGACATGTGATATTATATCAATCATTAATTCACTATAGCACGATTCAATTTCAAGATTCAAAATTAATGGTATAGATGAAGCAACATGATAGAATGTAAAGAATGATGCCAAAGGTAACTCTCAGTGAAAATTTCAAACTTCACTAATCAACACATGTACTTGTTCAGTTTCACACATACTACTTCCTTCGATTAAACATGTTTGACGTCCAATTATACTCTAATTATAAGCGACCCATAATTTTGAATGAAAAAGAAATAAAATAAAAAGAGTCGTCATGATCTTGTTCTTCATACCACAACCTAATTAGTTATCGATTAACTCGTAGAAGTTTCCAGTTTATATTAGCGTGAATATACATTGCGATAAATAAAATAGGGTTTGAAGGTAGCTGTGGTAATTGATTAATTGCCATCTGAACATGGCGCAATAATAGGTAAATAGCAAGTTGAAACGCAAGGCTTTCGATGAAATTAATATAAATACTGAATTTGACATTAACTTTTTATTCTCTTCTTGCAGTTAGTAACCAGTTTAAGGTCAATGAGAACAAGTGTCCAGTGTCATCAATGAAAGATGGGATTCGCTGTATATTTTTTGATTAAATATTTTACTTTCTGATTTTTTGAGATCTCGGTAGAGAAATTTTGATTGTACTAAATTCTTTTCACAGAATAAATCCAGAAAACTCACATGGGTGGGTCCCAAGTGAGTTTTATATTGAAAAAATATAACCACCCACCCCATAAATAGTGTGTGATCTGTAAAATGTCGATCAGACTATTTTTCGTAAGTGTAGTGCACTTCATCTTGGTATTACCATAGTCACGTACAAGAATATGGATTTTTTAAAAAGTTTAATTAGGTAGTTCACATAATCAGCATTAATTAAATTAGGTTGCAAATTCAACACTCTAGCATGTGTTGGAGCAACGTTATTTTAAAAGAATGTATTTTGAAATATTAGATTTGATGAAGATTGTGTGATCAAAAAATAAGGAAATTTTTTGAATTTACATGTAATTTTACTTTATTGAAGAATGTGTAATTAAGAAAATGTCAAATTACTGTTTAAAAATTTAATTTTTTGAAAGAACGCGACTCAAGCATGGATAAGTTGTTCAGTACAAAAAATATTCGTTTGAATGTTTGCACAAAAGCCAAGATTGGTAATGATTCATTCTTAAAAAAAGTTGAACCACAATCTTGAGGGTCCCCACCGTCCTGTCTTTAGAGTTTTGTGAGGAAGGTAAATCACAAGATGTGCCCCAACAGGCCAAGAAACAAGAGCTGCTTGTATACTGCGCTTACAAGAAGTCCAATTCCATGTCTCAGGTAATGATTCATTCTTAAATCTTAACCCTTTTGTGAGCTAAAGCCTAAAGCTGCACTAGTGGGGACAACAATCCATATGGTCCATTGGGCTCATCTCGGCTCGTGCTCGTTTTGGAGCAAACATGGCATGAGCTGGCACACCAGGAATTTTTGGCCTCGGTTCATCCAATTGGCTCGCCTAGGGGTGGAGCGAGCCAAACCAGATCACATACTCGTTGACTCATAATTTCTTTTATAAATCAATATTTTATTTGCATATTTTGAAAAAAAAAAGAAAAAATCGAATTCAAATTTAAATTGAGGCAACCAAACAACTACATGAATATGATATGATCGAACCTAAACATGTGGCTGCTTTTGCAGCACCTATTGAAAGTCATTTTTTAAGAGCTTGCAAGCCAACGAAAGAGCTCGGATAGTAGCTTCCATGAGTTTTTTTGTATTTGGCTTATCTTTGACAAGTTGAGCCGCCCAATCTTGTGTGCAAGACAAGTCAAATCGGCGCGCGACTTTCCCCAATTCCCATCCCTACTCTCTCGAGCCTTTCTCAAAGCTATGTGATGAGCTGCTCAAGCACCTTTTTTTCAACCCAATAAAATCCAAAAAAAATATGAATAACTTTGCCACTCAAAATATATAATTTTTGTTTACTATACTTCCGCTCTTACCACTCAAATACATATAATTTTGCTTTTATTCGAACCGTTGTTAGAACAAACTTTTTAGAGTCGACTTCGTAATGCATTCTGATGTTGAAAAAAATTAAAAAAGCAAACAGATGCTTAGTCAAGTTAACTCTTCAAGATACATGTCCGAAAATCATACTTTACAATTAACGATATTATTAGAAGGTTACATTATTAAACTCTTAGAAGTCCATGAAATGGTCATCTTTTCTCATATGGTATTTGGAGTGAGCATAGAATGAAGATACACAAGAGTCATGAATTCAGCGAAACTTAGAATTTGCAAAACAAAATAAAATGAAGCCATAAAATAAAGGATAAGTACGAAATTATTTTTATTCGATAATCGATCCTCCCAGACGTACGAGACATGGATTGGGACTCCTAAGTCCCCACACCATAAATGCAAAGGAAAATTCTGGTTGGAAAACCAAGTCTCTAATAATAAATAAGTGATAGATCATTGTTACAAACGTTACACGAAATTTTGATCACATTTTTAAGATGCTTATCCCAAAAAAATTCCAAAATTTTAATTGAAATCAATATTTTGAAAACTATTTTTTAACTTAAAAACGTGGGCCAACCAGTATAGGCCACAACACCACGGTGCAGATCCTGTTCATCACTCTTCAAACGTAAGACAATTCAACGGCCTAGATTTCACGCAAGACCAAATCACACCTTCAATTCTACCTATATATGCACCCCATTTATCTATCTTCACCCTAGCTTCCTTCTTCACTTCTTCTGGTAGCATTCGTTGCACGCACACAGACACACACACTCACACTCACTCAACAATCTCAATTTTTAACCGTAGGATTGATTAAAATGAGATCATCAACAAGTACGTGGATTTCATCCATGAAGTTGTTCCTAGTTTTATTTGTAATTGTTTCCTTTGCCATGGCGATTAAATTCTCGACTCCGTTTATTGTTGATTTCGTATTTAATCAATTACCAGTGATTTGGTCTATAATTCTGTCATGGACGAAGCCTCCTTATTTATACATAATTATCAACGGCATCATCATTACCATCGCCGCCACCTCGCGCTTTCACCAAACTACATCCTTGCCATCCGTTCCGCCTCAGCGGTTAGTTTCAGTCAAAACACCTCCGCCGTTAGATTTTCCCTCCTTTCCAGTTCAGCCGGAGATTAGAGCTGTAGACGTACCCCCACTGCTGGAGTATGAGAGTGAGAAGAGGATCGTGGAGGTGAAGGCGGTGCTAGTAAATGGCACAAAAGTCGATATCGACCAAACTGAAGAAGAAATTGAAGCTGATACTGAACTTGCCGGTGAAGATAAGTTTGTTACCTGGAGTTCTACGTGGACTCCGCCACATAGGATAATTTCTCCAGATGTTCAATCGGAGCTTCTACTGCCGGTAAGGGAGAAACACTTGGCTCCATCAACATTTCGTCACCGGAAAACTAACAGAGCCAATTCTAAAGGTACTCATCATAATTCATAGCCTCGTTTAAACAATCTTTTGAATAGTGATTTTTAGAAGAATTGATGGTTAAAAAGTTTTTTGTGTGAATACTATTATAATAGGAGTTTTCAAATGATTGTTATAAAATGGAGACTTATTTTTTTGGCTAATTATTTGATTTATGTTGACTAGTCTTATTTTTTGGCTAATGATTATTTTAATATACATTTTCTTTATAAGCGGCACATTTTCATAATTTTAAATTTTGAATAAGTCCTTTGATACGAACTATATAGTTTATGGATTTTACAAATTTTTTACAATATATTTTGTTAATTTTTATTAAAATTTATTAAAAATCTAATTTTAATTTTCAAGCAAACAAGAGGAAAATATGATTTCTAGAAGATTAAAAGGTCAATTGCATTTTTCAGGTGCAAAGGTACCTAAAGTGACAAGACAGAAACGGCAAGAGACATTAGAGGATACTTGGAAGATAATAATGGAAGCGCGTCAAGTGCCACCCACAAAGTCAGATACGTGGCAACGCAGTGGGCATCAGTTGACCACAAGTAGACCGGATCATGTACCAAAATCGAAGACCTCCAAGAACCGTGTGAACTATGAGTCCCCATTCGAAGCTCCATTGAGATTGTCCTCAAGTACGAAGATTTCAAAAGAGTCATCGTTGAGTAAAGATGAGCTGAATCAAAGGGTTGAGGCGTTCATCAAGCAATTTAATGAGGAGATGAGGTTGCAAAGGCAAGAGTCACTCAACCAGAGTATGGAGATGATTAATCACGAGGTCTAGACTATACAGATCATTAATTCCTGTTGTATAGAAATAAGTCAATAACCTTCACAGAAGACTTACAGAACTCTCACACAGGGTGAACTTCATGTGAATATTTTATTGAAAAAAAAATAAAAAAAAATACCTGCTGTGCCCCATCTAGAGGGATTCTGTGACCCCTCATGCTGTACATATAGTATGCTTGCTATACAGATTTAGATTGTGATTTACTTGTTAATATAAAAATATCAACATAGAAAATTGGAAAAAAGAAAAAGTAGTAGCTGCAAAAACTTTAAAAAAGCTTGAAATAGTTTTTAGGGAACTACTTTTAGTTTGTGTTTCCAAATTTGTCAGGCCTCACCGTCGAGGCTCTATTTCAAGCATATGTGGCAACCACTTGGATGCATCAATCCAGGGAAAAGTCAAAAGGTCGACAGAGTTAAATGATTGAAGTCAACTCTATTGTTGAAATTCCTTTACAATCGAGGTCATTCATCCCGAATTCCCTCCTTCAAAGGGTCTCGGATTAGAAGCATTTCCCAAAGAGATCGTAGTGGTTAATGAATGATTGATATCACCACTTGCAATCCAATTAAGTCGAATCTTGTCAATCTAATTAATTATGTACATTGACACACTCGAAAGGATAGCTCCTCTTCCCCCACACACTCGAATGCACTACACTGTAAGTGGACAATGGGACAGTCACGATAAGACATCCTAGAGAGTCGAATGCAACCACGTACGTTTCATCCAATGGCCAAGATCAATGCTATATTACTATAAACAACAAACATTTTAGCACTTTGAATTTAATGCAACTCTTTACACAAATAAAACTATATTCTACTCTTTCTTTTGTTCATATTCAAACTTGTTTGAGCTTAGATAACATTGTTTTAGTTAAGTTATTTATGATTGATTCTTAATGTGCAATCACCCATGAATTTATGACCAGTATTTGAACATCTTTGTCTCGTGTCTTAAAGTATCTCCCACGTTCATGTGCAGTTATTCCTTTGAATTGCATTTTCGGTTAAAAATGTTGAAATTTGCTCGTCTAGACATGAGTGGACCCGAGATCTGTTATCCACGTCATCCCTACAAAAAGTGAATTTATAAAATGGAGACTTAATTTTTTGGCTAATTATTTGATTTATGTTGACTAGTCTTATTTTTTGGCTAATGATTATTTTAATATACATTTTCTTTATAAGCGGCACATTTTCATAATTTTAAATTTTGAATAAGTCCTTTGATACGAACTATATAGTTTATGGATTTTACAAATTTTTTACAATATATTTTGTTAATTTTTATTAAAATTTATTAAAAATCTAATTTTAATTTTCAAGCAAACAAGAGGAAAATATGATTTCTAGAAGATTAAAAGGTCAATTGCATTTTTCAGGTGCAAAGGTACCTAAAGTGACAAGACAGAAACGGCAAGAGACATTAGAGGATACTTGGAAGATAATAATGGAAGCGCGTCAAGTGCCACCCACAAAGTCAGATACGTGGCAACACAGTGGGCATCAGTTGACCACAAGTAGACCGGATCATGTACCAAAATCGAAGACCTCCAAGAACCGTGTGAACTATGAGTCCCAATTCGAAGCTCCATTGAGATTGTCCTCAAGTACGAAGATTTCAAAAGAGTCGTCGTTGAGTAAAGATGAGCTGAATCAAAGGGTTGAGGCGTTCATCAAGCAATTTAATGAGGAGATGAGGTTGCAAAGGCAAGAGTCACTCAACCAGAGTATGGAGATGATTAATCACGAGGTCTAGACTATACAGATCATTAATTCCTGTTGTATAGAAATAAGTCAATAACCTTCACAGAAGACTTACAGAACTCTCACACAGGGTGAACTTCATGTGAATATTTTATTGAAAAAAAAATAAAAAAAAATACCTGCTGTGCCCCATCTAGAGGGATTCTGTGACCCCTCATGCTGTACATATAGTATGCTTGCTATACAGATTTAGATTGTGATTTACTTGTTAATATAAAAATATCAACATAGAAAATTGGAAAAAAGAAAAAGTAGTAGCTGCAAAAACTTTAAAAAAGCTTGAAATAGTTTTTAGGGAACTACTTTTAGTTTGTGTTTCCAAATTTGTCAGGCCTCACCGTCGAGGCTCTATTTCAAGCATATGTGGCAACCACTTGGATGCATCAATCCAGGGAAAAGTCAAAAGGTCGACAGAGTTAAATGATTGAAGTCAACTCTATTGTTGAAATTCCTTTACAATCGAGGTCATTCATCCCGAATTCCCTCCTTCAAAGGGTCTCGGATTAGAAGCATTTCCCAAAGAGATCGTAGTGGTTAATGAATGATTGATATCACCACTTGCAATCCAATTAAGTCGAATCTTGTCAATCTAATTAATTATGTACATTGACACACTCGAAAGGATAGCTCCTCTTCCCCCACACACTCGAATGCACTACACTGTAAGTGGACAATGGGACAGTCACGATAAGACATCCTAGAGAGTCGAATGCAACCACGTACGTTTCATCCAATGGCCAAGATCAATGCTATATTACTATAAACAACAAACATTTTAGCACTTTGAATTTAATGCAACTCTTTACAAAAATAAAACTATATTCTACTCTCTCTTTTGTTCATATTCAAACTTGTTTGAGCTTAGATAACATTGTTTTAGTTAAGTTATTTATGATTGATTCTTAATGTGCAATCACCCATGAATTTATGACCAGTATTTGAACATCTTTGTCTCGTGTCTTAAAGTATTTGCCACATTCATGTGCAGTTATTCCTTCGGATTGCATTTTCGGTTAAAAATGTTGAAATTTGCTCGTCTAGACATGAGTGGACCCGAGATCTGTTATCCACGTCATCCCTACAAAAAGTGAATTTAACAAAATTGATTTATGACAATTAACTGGAAAATATATGGGAAAATGTCTGTATGGGAACGTGGATATGTCCTTTTATCATTGTAATTATGAAAAACTCTACACAGTGGAATAGCCTTTTTTTCCTTTTTCTTTTTCTCCATATTATGTTATATCATTCACTATTGTTATGGATTTATGCCTTTTCTTTTATGGTTTAGTTTTATTTGTTTTAGGGACTTCAGCATTCCATTAAGACAGTCTTAATTAACCAATTCTCCACGAAAATATAGTACCGTAAAAAAGGGACTAAGATATTTATTTTGTAATTATATTAGTAAAATAAAAATTGTAATATTTTCGAAATTTTGGGAGGAGTT